CAGCAAACTTGCTGAGGGTGCACTCTGTCCCTTCCTCCAGGTCATCAAGACTGGACCCAGCACTGACCCCCGCTAGCTACAGGCCTCCAACTTGACTCTGCGCCATTCACCACAACCCTCTGAGCTCAGCCATCCAGCCAGTTCTCAAGCCACCTCACCGTCCACTCATACAGCCCACACTTCCTGAGTTTACCTATCAGGATGGGATGGGAGACAGTGTCAAAAGCCTTGCTCAAGTCCAGGTAGACAACATCCACTCCTCTCCCCTCATCTACCCAGCCAGTCATTCTGTCATAGAAGGCTATCAGATTGGTCAAGCATGATTTCCCTTTGGTGAATCCACTCCTGATCACCTTCTTGTCCTCCACATGCTTAGTGAGGACCTCCAGGAGGAGCTGTTCCACCACCTTTCCAGGGATGGAAGGGAGGCTGACAGGCCTGGAGTTTCCTGGCTCCTCCTTCTTGCCCTTTTGGAAGACTGGCGTGACATTGGCTTTCTTCCAGTCCTCAGGCACCTCTCCTGATCTCCAGGACCTTTCCAAGATGATGGAGAGTGGCCTAGCGATAACATCCGCCAGCTCCCTCAGCACTCGTGGTTGCATCCCATCAGGGCCCATGGATTTGTGGATGTCAAGTTTGGACAAAAGATCTCTAACCCGATCCTCCTCCAGCAAGGGAGAGTCTTCCTTTCTCCAGCCTTCCTCTCTTGTCCCCAGGGTCAGGGATTCCTGAGGGCTGGTCTAAGTGAAGACTGAAGCAAATAAGGCGTTCAGCAACTCTGCCTTCTCTGCATCCTTCGTTACCAGGGCACCCGCCCCATTCAGTAGTGGGCCCATATATTCCCTAGTCTTCCTTTTGCTATTGATGCATTTGAAGAAGCCCTTCTTGTTGTCCTTGACATCCCTTGCCAGATTTAATTCCAACTGGGCCTTAGCCTTCCTTGTCGCATCCCTGCACACTCTGACAATGTCCCTGTATTCCTCCCAAGTGGCCTGTCCCCTTTTCCACATTCTGTACACTTCCTTCTTCTGCTGGAGTTTTGCCAGGAGTTCCTTGCTCATCCATGCAGGTCTCCTGCCCACTTTGCTGGACTTCTTACTCAGAGGGATGCACCCATGTTGAGCCTGGAGGAAGTGATACTTGAATATTAACCAGCTCTCCTGTACCTCCCTTCCTTGTAGGGCCCTACCCCATGAGATTCTTGCAAGATTCTCCCGAAACAGCTCTCAATTCCACACCAGGTACCTGGAGGCCCCAGTTCCTGGCCAGCACCATTGTCCTATAGTCCTATGAGGGTCACGACAGGCAGAAGTTTTACCATTTAAACTCCTATTCATATTCTTCAACTTTCCAAAACACCTATTGCTCAGGCTTGCAATTTCTCAAGCTTAAAAACTCAGTAAACAGTGGAAGGTCTGGGTTTTTTTCAATGTTGAAAATGCTCCCTTTTTTCCTTTTATAAAAGTGATCGTACAAACAAATAACGAAGCACATCAGCAACCAATGATGTCAGACTTTAGCAAGGAGAAATCAGGGTTGCCACAACCTATCTTTCTATCATGAGTCCTACCACTTTTATTTTGATAAGAGCCACAGATTTTCCCCAAAATAAAACCATACTGACTATTAGAAAAACTCTGTCTTTTTTTAAAAATTAATATCTAGCTCTTAAAGGCAAAGGGAAGATGTTTGAACATTTGAACCTTAAAACTGAGTCAGTAGGAAAAAACGTTCAAAGATTTTTCTGTTTTGTAATGCTCAGAATTTATAACTTGGGGATCTGAACTGCATGTACTTGGGTTGGCTGCCTGCTCTGGTTTTCACTGAGGTTCAGTGGCACTACCTGGTGTGAGAGAAGCTGGCAACAAAACTGTGTTGATATGAGACTTGTAAGATCATTACAAGATCCTGGTTCTGCCAGTAGCATGCTGTATAACCTTGGGTTATTCTCCCTTTCTCTGTGCCCTTCCTTCTTTTTTCTCCGTCTTCCTTGTCTAGCCACTATCTGGGTCACTATAATCCTGACCCTCCAAAGCTCTAAACATGTACCCTGACATGCTGTAAGTAGCTCCCTAAAATATATATATTACAATGGAGAGCCCAGTGCATGCAGTCCAGCCCCCTAATGAACATGGATGCAACCTAGCTATTACGTACAATCAATGTGTTTGAGTATGTACTCATCAGGTGGAACAAGATAGCTCTGATAAAACATATCCACATAGTTAGATTTACATGTATGTAAAAGTAGTAAAAACAGTTTCTACCATTTCACCAGTGTGAGGTTTTTGAGATTGTCATCCAGATTTCAGTGGAGTTATTAGCAGCATCAATATATTACTGAGGGTAGGGTTGGCAAAATGGGGGCCCTAAATTTGTACTTGGTAGCTCAAAGAGTTTTAGATAAGCTGATAAAGCCAGAAAGCTCAACAATTCTATCTTTTGCTTAGAAAAATGTCCGCAATAAGTTCTGCAAAACAGCTGCACAGTCATTACATTGCAAAATATATAAACAAAGTAAGCCTGGATTTTGTGCTTTTTTGTTTTTCCCTCTTTTCCTCCTTGTTTCTTAAAAAAAGCTAAAAAAAAAAAAAAAGCTATCGTGAACATAACAGTTAAAATTGCAATTCGGAGATTCAAAAGAATGAGGTACCAAGGGCTAATGCAATAGTCAGTTTTGCATAGATGCGTTACTTCCTATGACTGTTTATCTGAATAAATGTACAATTAACTGATCACGTGTTTAACCCTATTCTAAATAGGAACATGACGTGAAACAAAATAGAGTTAAATGTTACAGGTATCTTTGCTTTTACCCCTCTTGATTTTAAAGTTCGGCACTAACTTTAATTGTTTACTGGTGTAGTTTTTCATGCTTCATAGTAAAATAACAGTACCTCAATTAAATACAGCTTTTTCACCCAAGAATCACCCAAATGCTTTACAGAAATAAGAAATAATGAAGTAAAACTCTTTTCCTCATTCTAAAATAAATAACGAAATAAAAAGCTAAAATAATTAAAGCTAGACTGTTCACACAAGGGTACAGGCAAAGAATCGGAGAGAGAGAGAGAAGAATACAAGGCTGGTCTATTGAACCCATTCTGTTCTTAAAGGCAAAAACCTTCATTCAAAAACTGAAAGGGAAGCATTCAAAAAACCCTACTTTACCAAGATAGGACTCCCCTCCACCCCTTCAAAAAAAGCAAGATGATTGTTTGGCTATGGTATTTAGATTTTCTCTTTTCCCTCAGGAACTTGCATTAGATAATTTCTAAACCCTTCACCACATCTACCCTTCAAGAGGTAACCTCTGTTCATCTCGCAGCCTCTTCTCTAGACGATCGACAGCAAGGGAAGCCCATCCACCCCTGCAACAACTCCCAGGCTCTCCCTGGAGAGCATCTTGCCTGAAAGATAAAACTCCATAGATGGAAACACACCAAAACCACTGAAAGCCAATTACTCACCTGTATCTACTAGACTACATACTACTCCTATCGCTGGGTATTTCCTTTGCCTGTTCCTGTTCTATTCATTATCTAGACAGTCATTACAAGATTTAGCCTATGTGGCATACGGTACCATGTCACAGTGCAGCTCCAAGTTTAGGTCTCCTTTATTAGTGTGAAGTCGTACGTAGCCCTTCTTCTTCACGTATTTGTATCTTACAACATCCTCTTCAATAGCAGCTGTCTCAAAGCAAAATGCAATAATTAACTCTCTGGAAGTTTACTCATTGATCTTTAGAAATCATCAGCAAAGAAACGACTGGACTCTCCTGTGTTTCCCTGGGGCATTGGGCCTGCAGGGATTGCGCTCCACAATTCATCTACGATAACCTCACGTTAACCTTTCTATGCAAAGCAATTTCCATTCTAGAAAGCCACCAACTCCTCTAGAGCCAACAGTACCGTCTATATTTTAAGTCACAAAAACAATCAGTATTACATACTATAATTTTCAAGTAATGTCTACCAATCATGGACATAATTTTGAAATCAAATAGTTTATTGTCAAACTTGGAAGCCAAGCAGGTAGCCATCAGTCAACCACAAATTGCTGACATATGAGGATCTACCCAGTTCTGAAAACATATGAAGCTACGTCACTGGAAACATTACTGGAAAATCAAACCAGAGGACCAGTCTAGGATGTTTCCACTTCCATTTTGTCAAAATATCCAGTTCAATCAGATATTTTTAACACTCTGAAAGATTCACCTCCAAATCGTTGTAATCCACCAAGTAAAGACACTGAATTTGGCAAACATGCAATTTCAGCAGTGCTCAAACCTTGCCTAAGTGTATGACATACTCCTACACTTTCAGTGCCAAAAGTCAGACCTCTCTCTTCAACTGGGAATACTAATTGCTCAGCTATTTAAGTGACATTGAAATTTAAGAAATTCTATACCTTTGTATTTAAGCTGGAGGATGAAAGGAAACTTTATAGTATTAAAATACATTCTTGTGTAGAGTTTAACCGTGGAAAGTAGTAAATCAAAAGCCGTCCCAACAGAACGTTTGCTGTCATTCTAACCAATACTGGATTAAGCCAAAAAGATGGCAAACATTTATACATAATTTGAGGGGAGATTATGCTTCATTCCTAACTTACATAAGCGGACATCCCATTTTGTGGTCTGTGGGCATAGCAAATACCTCATTAATTTCAGTTCAATGTAAATAACTGACATTCAAAGCCAAAGCTAATTCATAACTGCTCCATTATTTTCAGAATGAGCTCACCGGAAAGTAGGGATATATCTGCTCAGGGAATATATTTCCAAGGCATCATTACTAACCAATTACCAATGCCTTCCTGCAGCCCACATAAACTTACGTGTGCTAGGGAGCACACTTCAAAACTGGACAGAAATTGCCTGTAGAAAGGTAGTTCTGGTACCTGCTTCGTGGGTAGTTTCTGGCACCATTGCAGTGGAGGTGAAGGAAGCACTTACTGCTCCAGTGGAATAGTGGGCCTGTTCACAGAGAAAAAAGCAAGACAAAAAGACGTTTGATATTAGAATTTCTCTATTTTCTCCTTACTATTTAAATGAAACATAAGTGCCATCTATGTCATCCTTCTGAAGGCAGACTTTCCGCTCTAGTTCCTATAGAAAGAAACAAATGCACGATGCAGTGATATTTCTCCATCTGTTACCCATAATGTTTGCTCTGATGAATTTTCACTTAAGGCTGCCCAGGCAGCGAGCTGAAGGGGCTTACTGCTTCCACAACAGTTTAACACATTATTATGAAAAGATTTTATTATCAGAAGTTATTTGTAAGTCCACAGGTGGAGATATGAAAGGAGTACTGCTGGCAAGACATCTGTAAAATTTTCCAACGTTGCTGAGTAAGTGGAAGGATGATCCAGTGAACCACGGCAATGCTGAGGAGAAAAACAAGCCAACCCCTTCCCACGCACAGGCCTTCTGCATGCACAGGCGCTGTCCCTTAGTTCCCAGTGTCTATTTTGAGCTTCACAGTTTTTTTGCAGAAAGGAAACGTGAACAGCATACATGGATTTTAGAGTGAATCACAAAGACCAAATGAACCCACAGATACTTCCTGTGGGGTCTGGAGCAATGCCTCACACAGAACACAGGTCTTCTAAGTCACAGGTCACTGCTCCAACCACTAGGTTACACTACAGCCTACGTGATTAGTTATACCCACCCACCTACGTTATTAGCAACATATGAAGAGCTCATTATTCTCTCTCACCTTGATTTTTCTCCTCATATCTTTTATTTTCTTACAATGCTATGGCTGCTTGAAGAAGGGGCAAATCTGATCCTATTCCTATGTCACGTACCTTCATTACTAAATCTAACACTAAGCCCCCTCATAAAAAGCCACGTGCTGCGCTGCAATTCATTTTCATGTAAGTGTAATCAAAGTACAAAGACACATATGTCCCAGAATTATTAAAGGAAAGAACACAGTCTTCCCATTTCAAGCAGCCTTTGATGCAGGAAATCAAGATGTAGATGAATTATTTCTCTCGACAACAATGAACGCACAGTAATATGCACCTGGAAGAAGATCCTTTAAAATTTTCCACTAAAATTCCTGCATTCCCATGGAAAAAAATGTCAAAGCAGCTGTGGATGATTTATATATTTGCTCACATCAGAAATGATTCATTTGCTTTGCTCTTACGGTGTGTTCCCTCTGGCAATAACTGCAGGAAACAATGATCAACAAATTCAAAGCAAGAGATTACAACCTGAGAAAAAAAGGCTGTGCCAGCATATACATCATAACCACATCATAAAGAATCCTCCTTATTGTAATCCATTTCTAAAATGTTTAGGTTCCTTTACAGTGATTTAACAAAGAGAAACTCACTGACACATACAATGTACTGCAAAGAAATCCCAATATGACTCTCATATTGTCATCTATGACAAGTTTCTATGTAACAAAAACAAAAGGAATAACATCTGTTCATATTGCAACATGCCCTCTAAGCTGGAAAACATCTACTTCTGTTCTTGAAGAAGTCAATCAGCGACAAACTGTAAATCAAGTCAACTTACTGCATTCAGCTTATCCACTTTTTTCTTTTCAGGAGCCTTCATGGTAGCTGCTAAAATATCATCTCCTTTGAATTCCTTATAAAGTTCCAGTAAAGTCTCTCGGGTCTCTGCATTTGTATTTTTCAAATAGTAAGAAGGATCTAATTTTGCTTTTTCTTCCTCTAGATAAAACAAAGTCAAATCATTTGGAATTAAAAGACACGTCCTATTTTTTTCCCCCTTCACTTTGTTATACATCTCGACACAAAAAACCTTCCAGATATTTTTTCTGCTTTTAAAATAGTAAATACATGTATTCCTGGAAAAACAGTAACAAACGGCAACCCATGAGGCTAAAAACAGAATAATTTGAAGTATGGCATAATAAATGCCAGTCTAATGAAGTATAACAAAAAAATCAACTTCAAATCAATTACTGCAAAAGTTTCTTTGAAACCACTAAAAACGATCTAAGTTCATGCAAGTCTAATCAAATTACTTTTATAGAATAATAAAAGAAAAGATATAGTTAAGTACAATATGAGCTTCTGTCCTTTTTCTCCTCACTGAATGACCAGGCCTGTGATGTAAAAATCCCAACATCAGATCTTTATTGTGGGAAGGAGGATGGTGGAGTGGACTGTAGAATTCAGTGGTTTTTATAAAATTCACTTGACCTCAATCTTGGTATGCCTACTATTTGCTGGAAATTAAATATTTAATCTCTGAGTTCCTACCCGCTGAAAATAAGTGTGAATACGGAAACAGCAATGCTTTCCTGCAGATTTAGTAGCTTAGAAGAGAAAGAGGAACATAATAAGACCCAGAAAAAAAACTTGCATTGAATCAGCAATTATACCTCACTAAAAACATTTCTAAAGGAAACCACAAAGGTTTAGGAAAGATTTTTTTCCCTCCAACAGTTTAATACTAGCACCTACACTAAGCATTTAGTTATCAAAGCATCATAAAAAAAGAAAAAATATGTAGTTATTTTTGAGGATTAAAATAATTTTGGGAATATTTTAGGAAGTCTAAATCAATCCTTACCTTAGAAGACGTTTATTGGTATCCACACAGAAGGACAGACAATACCATCACTGACACAGCTAACACATGAGAGAGCCTACCACAAAGCAGACAGGTCTGAGAAGATGTAGGCTCCCCTTTTTTTGGTTCTGGTACAAGCCTAATGCACATTTTGGCAAATTATTTTTCATCCTTTTCTAACATCTCTCTCATCTACCTATTCTTAAAGGTCATAGAAAGTGTTCTGTGTTTGTACAGCACCCAAATGAGACAGTTAATCATTTCTCAAAGAATCATTTATTTGAAGGTATATCAACACCTTTTGATGTGAAAGGGACAGTTTAAACAAGTTATGCTAAAATGTTTTCCAAAACAATCTTTCAAAAGTACCATTAGACACTGAGGGTTGCCCATTCAGAAAACTGTGCCAATTCATAATGTAGTCTTTGGAATTTGCATTTTAGGGCTGGTGTTTTCTCAGCCTACCATCGATTCAGCCTTACCTGGATCAATTACTTTTAAGTTGTTCTTAACATGAAAGAAGTTAGAGACGTTGAATTTATCCAAGTTTGTTGGGTCCTGAAAATAATTAAAAAGACAAATATCAGAGAGTTTGGTAAGCACAGGGGTTTTCCTGTAATAAACTAGTTTGAAAGGTATAGCATAATAAACCAAAGGCCAGCATAATAAACCAAAAGAGAGCAGGAAGGAAAAGGGACAACCAGTGTCTCACAGACAGAATAAACTGCATACTCTCCAAACCATAGAAAGATAAGAAGGGATATCAAAAAAAAAAAAAATTAAAAAAACCCAATCAACTCCACACTTTAGCAACTTCAGGGAGACTTTCGTCTACAATTTCATCCCAAACATCATTTTATACGTATTTTGCTTGTAGAGGTTACTAACAGAACTAAGCAAAGCCCACTCCCTGCTAGAGCGAAGAAGGAACCAGGAGCTGCAACCCCCTGATCCTTCTCTGCATTTTGCCATTTGGTATAACATGTAGGCAAATTCACATTAGCTATCCCTTTCCATTTACAACAGCGTGGCTAATTTGCACATGCTCCATGAATTTTTGTAATCCTTTTCAAAATACAAATAAACGTCAGAGTAAGTATGCTTATTAGTTCTTTGCAGTCAGAACTTTTTTATTCTTTCTTCTATAGCAAAATTTGTGTTTACAGATTACATTTTTTAAAAAAGGCAATAAAAAGAGCTTTTATGAAAACTCTATTAAGTGGTCACTTAAGGAACGAGCAATAAAATCCACAGTGCATTAAGTGTGGGTCTTTATCCTGTCGCTGGGTAACTTTCTGCACAAATTTGACCTTTTCTTAGAGTGGATGAGAGAGGGATTGCATACTGGTGATGTAGGTTACACTATCCTACTGTTAAACAAACCTCAGTCCTCCTCTTACAATGATTTCAAGGCTTGTTCTTCAAGCTCCTCTCTATCACAGAAAGATCAAAACATCCAGGGTATCCAACCATTTCTGGAAATTCTGCCTTATAGTAAATATCTTAATAAAATACAGTAGTCTTTAAGTTCAGGATAAAAATGATGCAACACGTTATGCAAAGGACTATAACACTGATATAAATAGTACAATCCCAAATAAATTTAACAAAGCTTCTCAAAAACCACTACTGTCAGTAAAAAAGTACTGACAACTCATTTTCTGCTAAAATAATGGTTAATACAAGCAGAGCTGGTAGCTCTGTTAACTGACATAATTATGTTAACTGACATAATTATGCCTTTCATTCATCCCTGAAATTGTATGCTTCCAGTGCAGAGTACACCTTCAGTTTTATTCCTGATAGCAAAACCAAAACACATTTATGAAATCAAGCTGCATAAGCCTGCACCCTAATGATGAGCCACTTGCTTTCTTCTGTCCCCTTTCCCATCATCATGTAATCATTCTCTGTTGTTTGCTGCCCTACTATAGCCACTCTGAAAGATCTTCATCAAGATATAGGATACCAAAAAAAAAAAGATATATATTTTTTAAGATATTGCATTAGAAACAGATCTGCTTTAAATAAATCTGCCAAGGAATAGGAAATTTGAACCTACTTTTTAATCCTATTTGTATGGTCTGACTCCTGCACCTAGGTATATTTATTTTTCCTGTGTCAATAACAATATGACCATCCTCAAATATATTTTTATGCATGCATGACTGGCTTCAGCCTTGCACGCTGACAGTCAACAACACGCATGGAGAAAGTCCAGATAAAAGGCTCAGTGTTATGTTTCCAGAAGATGCAGTCTGCCTCTTCCCAAATATTCTTTGCTAATCATAAACTGCAACATTCACTGACAGAAATTATGGCCTTGCACTTAAATGAGCCACCACTACAAGTAAACAAAGCACAACTGCTTACCCGTTCCAGGGAAGGGGAAAATAATCTGGGTATTAATATTAATACAGACAAATGGATTTATAGCAAGCCGCATTTCTGCTGCTTATGGCAGAGCTGAAGGGCAAGACTGACTCCTGAAAAACTCTTCAGAATGGTACTAAAGGGAAGGGAGGGAGGGCAGGAGACAGCAGTAAATACGAACCAGATAGCGCTTTCACTCCGTTCCTCTCAATACAGCTTTTTGATTTACTGATTTATAGAGCTTCCAGAAATAAAAAAGGACATCCAAATTATCAGTGCCTTACGAAATCTCAAGCGTTTTGCACTCAGGGTACCTCGAATCAGCTTCGTTAGACCATTTCACAACCACAGCTCATTTAAATGCTCACCAGTTTAACTAGCCTAATTGCTGGTATTGAGCAACTCCGGTGGGGGAGGAAAAAAAAAAAAAGTTATAGTCTCCTTCTCTGTAAGACATTTCTCAGGGCTCTCCGAATCTTCACTAAGCTCCCCATAGGCAACTCAAGGCCAAACGGCAGCCTCTTCTCCTTAGGGACCACAGCCCTTCTGCTTTCTGAGACCCCACAGAGCCCAAAGCCACCATGACCAAAACGAGACACCCAGCTGCTGTGCACTGCTCTTCGCTACCCTCAGGTGGGCCTTTTACTCAAAAGGCCTTTTACGTTGAGAAGGCAGACAACTCAGAAGCATATTCCCAAACTGGTTTCCCTCTGCCAGGGGAGGAAAAAGATAAAACCATAAAAAATATTCCGCAAGTTGAAATTTAAGTGTCATCTTACACAGATTTCGTAGGACAACTTGCCCGCAGACTCCTCCCTCTACAGCACAGTATTATGAGGCACTAGAAATCTGATTAGAAGTAGATAACCATGCGTACTAAGTCCAGGAGTAGCGCAGTGAATATTAACTTAAACACAAGAAACCATTTGCTTCCACTGTTCCCAACAGCAGAACTAGATCTGGCCAGTCCAACCTGTGCCGCAGAGAACACAAACTAATGCTCTACTGAGGGTGAAGACTCCTACAACAGAAGATACGTATTTTCTGAGGTAGATTTATGTAAACTTAAAAAGTGCACACATTCTTCTGACATATCACTTCAGGAAGAAAACTGTCTCAAGATTAATAATTAGCCTGCCAAGTTCCACTCAGCGCATCAGTGACAGTTACCGGGCGCAGAATCAAAACAGTCCAACCAAGCCGCGAATGCCGACGCTGCAGAGCCGGCGAGACTAACGCACTTGTTTCACGAAAGCCTTGAGCTTTCGGTCTCTCCTTTTCAGTGGAAGGTTGAAAACATGAGGAATGTTCCAACTCCCGTTAAGGTTAAGGCCTACGACATGAAGACTGCCGGATGATTATTACAAATTTCTGTCTTACTTTATGAATCCATCTTTTGCTAAGAGCTATTAGAGAGCAGGATCTTGGCGTTTCCCTTTCAAATTGGCAAAGTTCTGCGGAAGAATCCTGAACAGCTTCTCTTCATTCTGGTCAGAAACTGGTGTTTAATTAAACAGTGGCAGGATTTGCCTTTGCTCAGGTTTGAAGTATTTTATTACTGCTACAGGATACCATTTTGCTGTTTAACTATTACCTTACTGCTGTTGTGAACCTAAAGAAGTAAGTTTTGTGTAAGCACACTGAGACCGGAAAGATGAACCATAAAGAGCAGAGCTAACTGGCCTACTTTCGTTTGTTTTACCCATGGTAATTTGAATACATATTTTTAAACACGCTAACAGTCTCAGGGTTCTTCTAATTAGGACTACAAACTATAAACTAAAATTTAGCAAATTACTAACACAGATACTCACTTCAAAGGGTTGCTAACTATTGTGACTATTATAAACTCATATTTGATGTTTTCCTGAAAGTTGACCTCTGAAAACAATCTTGAGTTTTGTTCCTTTTTTTTTTTCCCTATCATTTTCCAGTTCACCTCCTTAAAGAAACAGCTTAAAACCCATTCATCTTAAGCAACATACACACAAAAAATCCCAAAAGATCAGGTCAAAAAAAGCAGAGTCTGAGACCGTGGGATCTCTTAGAGGCCTGGTTCCTTCCTTAACGTTTGGTTGGCCATACTGCCTAAATAATTATTTTCAGGAACATTATCTTCAAGTCATACAATTTAAAAGTATAAAAACCACATGAGCTCCAATGATAAAGCCTGATTCCAGGCACGTTAAACTTCAGAGAAGTTTTGCAAATCGACATGACTGGCTTCCAAACAACTCCCAGTTGGCATTTTAGCTTTGAAAACAGTATTTATGGATGAACGCCCTCCACCCAGTAAGGCAGCCTTGCCCCTTGGCTGCCGGTAGTCAGACACACTGCCTACTCAGGGACTCTGCCTGGACTGCAGAACGTTGGGATTTTTTGGATTTTCTCTCTCGAACGGGACCATATACTCCCTCCTAGCCCCCCAGCTGAGAACGTGAAGTTCAGCGGGCATCACGACCCAACATGCCCCCTCTTTAGCAGCCATCCGGCACATGCAGGCGTATGTGCCTGACTCACCGCCTGAGAGCCCTCGCTTGCAACGGAAAGAAAATCTGCTCTGACCTCCTGCCACACGAAGAGCAAACAAGAACAGGCTGTGGAGTGAAATATCAATTAACGGTGTGCAGCTCAGCTACCGCCAGCTCAGTTCATTAGTTATGCTTCCTGTCACAAATGCCAATGGTGTTTAACAGCTTGTCAGAAGTCATGTCTTGTCCACAGCTGATTAGGTTGTACGGAAACAATAAAATTGACAGAAGGAAGCACATAACTGTATGAGCCTTTTTTACTTTAGCGGCAGCAAACCTGTTTGCACTCTACCTAGACACGCTTTTGTCTCTAGTTCTCTCTCCCACGAAAGCTCCACCGGTGTCGGTGGCGCAGAGCAGAACTGTTCGTCAGCGGCATCCCTCAGGGAAGGCTTTCAGCAGGCTGCCACGGGAGACAGACTACGCCTATTACCTTTAGCACGACAGGGTGAGGTTTTATCACAATTTTTCCAGCTAAAGAGGAACAGGCAACCTCTGCTGAAGTGCTGTCGCTGAGCAGGGCTGTGCTTCCCTCCCCACCTCACCTCTCTGTCGGTGGGGTTTCCCTGAGCAAGAATAATTTTTTCAGTATCTCCACAAAATTCGGAGCCATTTTGTTTCTGATTTTTGTACAGAGCTATAGGGGAAGGCAAAGAATTGACAGCCATTTCTCAGCCGGAGGGCAAAGCGGGGGCTCGTCATTGCTTGGTACCTCTGAACACTGCCACTAAACAGGACATGGGCCGCGTGCAAGCAGAGCATCATGGCAGGTCTTACTGTGCTCCCCTTACGAAACTTGCACATCAGCTGCGATCAAAAGAGGTCCACAGGGTTGTCAGAGCCCATCAGCATGTCTGGCAAGGCCTGACCTGACCCTACTCCTTCCCAAGCGTCTTGAGCTGAGGCATTTCAGAGCACCCAGCGTTACATGACGGCATCCAAATCACACATGCTTTTCTGCTTCCTGGTCAGTTCTGCATAACTGCACAGAGAATAACTTGCACAACATAATGTTTAAACACAGACTGATTTACAGTAACACTACCTAATAATCATGTCTACCAGATGGTTTTGGCCAGATTTTGTCACAGAGATAAAACAGTGGACAGCAGATCTTGAGATTTAGCACTCAATTACACCAAAAGAATTTCCTTGGAAGCTTATTTCAAATTGGGTTAAGCCGGGATAGTCATTTAGATTAAAAACTAGTTGAAAAACTGTAAAATATAGGACTAAAAGGATCACCTAGTTCTGAATCACAGTTCACTGCAACCTTATGTAAAAACGCTTTCAAAGCTATATGATTGTTTTAAAGGTAGAATTCAGTAAAGTGAAACGACGAACAGCGATGTATTACAATAGGAAGCAGAACAGGGAGGCAACAACACTGCGAACAAGCTTCAGTAATACCAGCCTTCCCATTAGAGGACCCTGTCCCCACAGATCTCTAAATGCTTCACATCATATCTTAGCTATTCAGTATGAGTAATAAATCCTGAGGTACTTGAGCTGCCTGTCATCTGGAAGCACGTTCACAACATTTGCAAGGGACGCTAACTCAGGATGAGCTGATCATCATTCAAGGTAAAAGAATACAAGTGGATTTAGAGTTATGAGGAACATGGACAAAACACAATAGCAGTATTCCATTTAGGAGAGAGACACACCAGTTACAGTTGAGGTGAAAGTTACCTGAAATACTGATGAACTGTACGGAGAGAGAAACTTGGAAAAAAAAAAGTAGCACCTGTACCGTAAAAAACAGAAAGCCTGACTTGAGTTTGTGGCAAGATCATGCAATTAAGGAAAGGAAAATTTAACTTAGGGGAAAAAAGCTACAGCCTAAAATGTCTCTGGTCATACTAAGACGGCTGGAGTCTAAGACCTCTCTAAAAAAATCTAAAGTCAAGAGCTCCTTGTGCTACAACATGACTATTTCTGACATTATCAGCAAGACATTAAACCAGAATCCATGACATCTTTTGCCTGAATAAATAGATCAGTTTGTGTCAGAGTCAGTTCCAGTTTTGGTAATGTATCTTGCACACCAGGATATGGTACTATTCTTTACCTCCTGCCTTGAAGAGTTGGATAATATTGCCATATGTTGATGAATAACTGACATACTATAATTACAGGAACATTTGCATTTCAATGGGGAGTAAAGCAATTTCTGTATATGTAAGTGCACAAAGTACTGCAGACTCCTTTTCAAAGTAGTACATTATAAATACAAGATAGCATTATTAACAATTAAAAGTTGTGATTTTGCTTTTTTTCCATTCAGATCCAAAACTAATTTGGTCTTCTTTTTAATAAGTAAATTTAAAGGCAAAAGGATACAAATAATTATCAATAAAAATGAAAAAGTCCAGCTGAGATGGTGCTCACCAGAAAAGATAGCAGAGACAGGTCATCATTAATGTTTGCACAATGTTTAGCACTGAGAAAAGGATAGAGAATTTTATGTAATTCTCTCTTCTGGAAAGAGGAATTTTTTTTTTCTTTTTTTAATTACACACATTAGGAGAAAGAGATCAAGTTTGAGGTCAATTGCTATTCTGGTAACAGAACATCTTCAGCGGCTGTAGGATTTCCCTGTAAGTAACAGTAAGGAAAAATTTGATTGTACAAATAATTTGTAAACCTACGTTATTCAAACTTTCCATTTATCTCGTTCTATTTCCCTACCAAACACATCTACCCCATCTGCTTCCTAGGGCATTTAGAGTCAGACTCCGAAAATGCTGTTTTCTATTGATAAACAGAGCTGTTAAAGACAGTCCTATTCAGCTGTTATTTACAAAGCAGAGTGTGTTTTTATAGCAACCTCCTTTATATCTAACCTTTTGCCAAACAGCAGGGTCAGTGTTACCAGCTCAATCTCGACTCCAGCTTTCTCAATATTCAATTTACGTGGGGGAGGGTGGGAAAACAAAGTGATAAATTTCAACACAGAATTGAAAGGTTTTTAAAGGAAGGGGGACCAGGGACAGAGCTCTAGAGCCACAAACTGGAGCACAACAGATTGCCGTCACGAACCCTGGTGGGGAAACAAAGCCACAGGTAGCAGAGCTCGGCAGCGCAAAGCTGCAACACTGCCTACAGCGCTGTCAACATGAGAACTTGGAGGAGGCATTGGTCTGTCTTCACAACAATTTACACAAAGAAAATACTATGCGAAAATAACAACAGATTCACATACCAAATACATACAAGCAATTTTAATATCCAGGCTACCCATACCACTTTGAGCTACATCCTGGCCTCAACTGAGCAAGTCAGGCTAGGGCAGCATCCAAGTAGGAGAAATCTAGGTGTACCGCACGTGTGCATGCTGTACAGCGCATTCAATGCCTCTACTTCTCATTCAGTACCCCAGAGTGATCCCTGCCTGTTTGCTGATCCTCCTTGTTTGAAACAAGATTTAAAAACTATTTGGATGGAGGGTCAAACTTCAGTTGGTTAACCACATTAAGAGGGTCAAAATTTCTTCCAGTCCAGTCCCAAAGATGGTGAAAGTTCTGCAACTACCAAACTGCTTTGAGAACATTATACCACTTCAGTTAACACCAATCTATAACAAACTGTTTACTCAAGGGGAACAAATCTACTCATGTATTATACATGTCATCCTAAATGGACATAGGAGAGGTAGAAGCAGCATCTGGCTGTGACCTCCATGTAGCTGGTAGGATGAATGTACAAGTGATTGGACATTGATCACGATCTACTTAAGTTTCTATTAACGGACATACTACTGTGAGCAAAAGAGAAACCCAACATGCAAAGAACAGAATCGGGATGAAAAATATTGATAAAAGCCCACACGGGCAACACAAAATTGCTAGTCATTGCATTTTGAAACTGAGAAGGCCTGCAGCATATGGTTGCTTAAATGAAAAATCAAAGCTACGCCTATAACAGGAACACACTCTTTATACATACATTCAATTCTAAACATACAAAACATACCAAAATATTTTTAAATGACTGCACATTTCGATTAATCCTTCAAAACCATTTGGTTTTCCATACTGATACACAGAAACATTTTCCATTCACTCGTGTCTCTTTTCACTGTTCCAAATCCATTAGCAATCATGCAGTTACATTCAAATGTCATTCTGTTGGGAGCTTTCAATCTGAAAAAAGTTATGTTTTTGCTTTCATTGGATTAAAAACATTTTACTTTGCTGCATTAGCTTGAACAGTCATCTCCCCAAAGGAACAGGGAGAAAAAAAAAAGATCTATAAACATGCTGTTCAGCATTGGGGGGCAGGAGGGAAAGGATTCACTTCAATTAAATTTAGACATAAATGAAAAATATTTTTCTATTCAAATTAGGCTGTATTAATCTTGGTTGGTGGCAACTATCTGTTCATGAGATGCACACTAACTCATGACTCCAATAATAACGATCCTTGAATCTTTTTCCCCCTATCTTGCAATCACACAAGCTTAAAATGCCTTTATTTTAAGACTTATTTTTAAACAGACTTTTTAGATCTTTCTCTACTAAGTTTCATCTGTAAAACAGACATCTATTACACTCTGAAATGCTGCTTTACAGGCTTTTAGTTTAGGTTTTAATATTGTTAAATTCATTAACAGATCCTGTTATCATTAAAAGGCCCTATAACATTTAGCTTTTCTTCACATTTAAGAGAAAAAACCCTATGATTCTGTTGGAAGCAGTTCTCTTTCATTTTACATTTCATACACCTACATCTTTCTCATTTTATAGTTGCCCATTAAAAACTATTTAGTGTTAAAAGAAAGCCACTATAAGCAAGCGTTTAAAAGAAATCCTCCGAATTGTTGCTCATTTTATTTTACGTTTAGGGAAGCCTTCTGTAAAAATTGCTTTTCCGAAGCTTTGACTATTTCAGCATCCTTAAAAGAGTAATATGGACAATCAGCTTCAGCTTTAACATAAGGACTATAGGCACACTTTCTCCATTCTAAAGAATGTTGCTTTTGATAACACAGACCAGGTACTGGTGGCTGTCCACAGCTGAAGATGATTCTGGACATATCTTTCCCTTATACAGACTTTTCCTAATGCAATTCTGTTAAGTCTCACAATAAATCAGTGATGTGGCAATTTTCAGGTAAAACTGATAGACACAAACAAAAATCCTTATGAGCAGTTTCATAACTAACACTTGTGATTATACACATTTTATACTCTGTAAAATACTGTGAATTGGTGAGTAACGCAAATACATTTGTCAAAATTCACATTTTCACATTGTATCCTTGACATTTTTGTGCACCATGCATTTTTGTTCTTCAATTCACAAAGTTCAGCTAATGCAATCTACTTATACATACACACACACAAAAACCACTGTAGAGATTTTTCAGGCTCTAAGTTACGTGGCATCTTCGTGGCTTAATCTGGATAACAAAGAAAACAGAGTAGGTCTGCTTCGAACCATCTCCAACACCACACACAGAACGATGTTTCTCAGTTCAATTATTCTATATAAATGCTATAGGAGTCTATGAAAATACACCTTTTTTTGCAGTGAGTGCAGTGTTATATAAGACATGCAGAGGAGAAGAAAGTTTACCTGCAGTGTCACAATGTCTTGTCGAGTGAAGGGCTCATCTGTCAAGAGATCCTTGTAGCTCTTTGGTTTTATGTTCAGCTGCTCAACTGCCTAACGGCCAGATGAAAGATATAGATATTAAAAAACATACGCTAATGTGCAAATATCACAAGTAAATATGTGACGCTACCCAAACCTTAAGGCATAAACGATGAAGAAAACAATGTCACCCCCCCATTCTCAACTGGCAGTTGCAGTATTTTCATTGTGTGCCTTAACAGAGATCAGAAATCAGAAATCTGTATTTCATCCCTACCCAATTCAAGTTTTTTCTTAACAAAAAAAATAATTGTTACTTGCATTTGTTTTACTTACGTAAATTATTTTAACCAAATTCATCTTAAAAGTAGTGCCAAAATAAAAAGCCCTGCTTGTAGTTTTCTAGGTCAGGTATTTTACAGATGGTATAAGACAGGCAGCTTTAACAAGGGGTCCATATCTTCCCCCCCTCAGCACCTCTCAGTGAAATACGCATGTTCCAGGTCAGCTGGGACAACAACAAATGCAAAATTGCATTAGTCCCTCATACTCTATCCATCCCCACTGCCACATCTAGCCTGGAACAACACTTAGGCTCCTCTGAAAAAAATTAAATGATGCTCTACAAAGCAGCAGCATGTTACTTCATAGTAAGAATCAATGTGGAATAAATGCATTGCTATTACGATCAAATACATCATGCGGACAAATGACTACGGAGGTCTGCCTGCAAAAATAACAGGTTCAATGTTATTCACCCAAATGCCCTCTAGTCTCCTTACCGACAGTATTTTTCTAGTGACTTCAGAAGTCCATAAATAAATTCTGAGCTTATAATATATAGATAAATGTTTTGTTTTGAGTGATAAACCACATGGGAAGCACATCCTCTTGACCAAGCTTCTCTTTAGGAAGCACTGAATTATAAACTGCAGCAAACTGAGTAACAGTTTTACAATATGGACAAACATTTAACAAAGACTACTCAAAAATCATTCTTGCTTTTAGTCACAGCAATCAAATCCTCAAGTTTCCAGAAGGAATAGAAAATATTTTAACTTAATCTTGACCACTCTTGAAACTGGAATGAAGTCAGTTCAACTATGACAGAATGATTTTTCAAAAATGTGGCAAATCTAGCCTTTTCTCTGTTTGAAAGTGTTTCAGCTTTGTGCATCTCTTAATATCCTAAAGTTCTACAGGAATTTCCCATCAATAAGTTTCAATCAGCAGATGTTTCAATGTTCAGACTTTTTAAAATAATAGATACGGATCCATTAATTGAAGGATTTATCTGCTACTGAAAAATAAATAACAATTGCTTTTACAGTAAAGATTATGCAAACAAACAGAAAAATTACAACAGAAATTCCACTTGAGATCACACTAATGTTCACCGAACACAAATCAAAACACAGCTGACATGTCTACTAACACATTCTCCCCACTCTTTCCCCAGCTCCAGTTAAAATACTATTTCCTATTCATTGATATGAACAGCAAGCAGGCAATTTGTGTTTTACTGATGACTTTGTATAAGATAGAAGATAACAAAAGATTTGACTATTAATTCAACTGAAGAGCATATAAAAGCAACATACTTTGGTCTACAAATCTCTACAATGTTTGGTTCCATTCAAGTTAACTACGGAAAGGACTTTAAAAAGTAGCTTTTAAATCATATTCTGGGTTTGCTGATACTCTGAAGGCGCAAGTGGGATGACAATTCGTGTGCCAAGACATTTCATGTCCATGTGAAATCAGTTCATCTCCACATACTTTAATCTCCCTGGCTGTAAAATAAGAATAAAACTTACCTATCTTTGTAAAGCTTTATGTGATCGCGAATCAAATGCATCAAGTATAAAATATTAATAATGAAATGCAAGAGAGAACCTACCTCATAGGCAAACACATTTCCAGTTGTCTTGATGGCCACAATATGGGAGTTATTTGTGAATACAGTAAATAGCACTGGACAGTGGTATTTACCTGATAAAGGAGGAAAAAGTCTGAATTCAGCATGAAGCCGTCATGACTGTATTAAAATATAAAAGAGCGAATTTCTTTTATCTCTGTGAAGAATATTTACATTCCTTTTTAGCATAAAATGTAACTTCATTGTCTATTTAATGTTTTAACTCATGCTTTGATTCTTCGGTGCTAAACAGAAAAAGTAGCACCTAAGAGAATTATAACACAGGAAATAGAAATGCAGTTTGAAATCTACTGCCCTCAAGCCCCCAGTACAGAACTTCATCCAACACGCGTGACATCTATGAGGTATCACAATGTGATTATTATTGTTGTAATCAAAGCTCTATTGAGAGCATGAGCCTGTATCTTCTAAGTGCCCAGTGCTCTATTTTCAGTGTCGTTCTCAGGAATACAAGTTTAGTTTGTATCCAACAAAAGTTCACAGCAGATGAAGCCATTTGAAAGCTGTTGTGCTTTTAAGAGACGAGAGCATTTTGTATTCAAATATGGCAAGCAGGAGTCCATTAAATCTGAACACGTTATTCGATAAGGAACTCAGCTTCTGCTCTAATCAAGCTGTGAATTTTCCCAAGAGGGTCAGCATAAATATTAAGCATGTCAACAACAAGCAAACTGATGGAAGCCAATGGATAAGGAAAAATAAAAATGTCTGGATGAGCTCACTAGAAAGCAATCAGGAGAAGATTATTAATACTTCATCAGTTTGCTAGACTGGGGGTTTTTGGTAAGGTTTGGAAATAAGTTGGGCCTACTTGATTCTTCTCTTCCTAATTACTATCTGAAAATCAAAACCAGCAGGGAGACTGGAATATATATTGCTCACAGCACCTGCAAAGGCAGGAAAAGCAAGCCCCTACCAAGCATTTATTAATTAAGGCATCAGCCAGAGGAGGCACTCTGACCTCCGACATGCAGAAGCAAGTAAAAGTTTGAGTTTATTTTTGTTAGTGTCAAGCTGAAGGAGAGCTGTTACCACAAAGGCCTGAAATTCAGGAGAAAGTTTAGAAAGGTTTTTCTAGAAGTGGCATCAGGGTATGGCCCAACTGATGGCTACATAAACACACTAGTGAAATGTGAGGCCTCATTCCAGCTGCATAAAATAGAGCAAATCACCATGCTTTCCCTTTTAGCGCCGGTGAGGCTCACGAGGGCACACACGTGCTGTTGATCTAAACAGAAGATATTCAGCAAAAGAGGAAGAAACCTTAATTGGATGGACCTTAATTAAATGGAAGAAACCGCAATATCTGAAGACTTTGTTATTGTACAGGTGTGAACAGCAAAGACCCTGTGCACACAGCAACATTTCTACATGTTACATTTTAAATAAGTGCTTGTTGAAAGATAAACACAATATTTTTACTCTCCCTCTTTTATTGCGTTTTCCCTTGACCTGTTAATGATGCAGCACACATCCTTTTTTTAAGGGAAAAGATTCTGAGACGGCATGGCTGCCAGCTTTCCACTTCAGCATCATTAACTGGACTTCTTTAAGGAAAGCACAATACCACGACATCTTTCAAAAACCTTGGCCACAGTGACTACCGGCCATTCTTAACCCCCTGCTCTTGAGACATATGGAACACAAAACTTGGAAGAAACGCATCAGCTACAGGAGCGTGAGGACAGACCACAGTCTATGGACTTTGGTAGGGTGAGGAGACTCCAGAATTTTATTCCCACAATGATCCTTGTCACTCTCACTTCAAATAAATCATTATCTGTCTCACAAAAGAGGAATTCATCTGAATGCCTTTCTTTTACTTCTGGCATCCTTTCTGTGACGGCAGATTTTGCATCTTTAGCTTACAGAGATAAAACTTGAGGCTGCTTTCTTGTATGCTGCTACTCATAAAATCCCATGTGTTCATTTAAGACTAATTCATTTTGTAAACAAAAAGTTGCTCAAAACCAAATGAATAGCAAATAATGCCACAAATAAGTTAGAAAAAGAAAATATTGGAGAAATTCAGTCATTTCTGAAATTTTTCCTTGCAGTAATTAGTGCCTAACTCCAGTAGTAGCTATAGTAAAGAGGAAATGTGCAGTAGTTTCCAAGAGAACAGAAACGGGGCTTTAAAGATAAACATGTTGATCACAGCAAGCAGTTATTCTACTCAAAAAATAAAATAAACAGAGAACACAAGCTACATAATTGTACGTAGTAGGAGACAAATGAGGTTTTATTAAAGCATGCACTAAGAAAAAAGCCACAGAAATACTCTGCACTTACCTTCACTGTTTTTAGCAAAATTTAGCTTTATAAGTGATTTGGCATCTAGTTTCTAAGGAAAATAAAACATGAAAAAAATTTAATCACAACAGAGTCTAACCATGGAAACAAAAGGAAACGGTGACATTAGTGCTAGTACTTTAACATTACACAATCAATCAATACTAAACTGCAAGTCACTTGAATCATCACAACCCTGCAAATTTAAGTCAGACAGCCCACAAAGGTAAGGCTCAAGGAACCTCAGAACTGGAAGATGATTTATAGTGTTGTAGTTTGATACAGGACAGTGCTAAAACAAAGTGAATAAACTTGAGAACCAACGCAACTTTGTCTTAGCACAAATTATAAGGGGAGCTAGCATGAGAAGGTAAGAGGCAAGGATTATTGCTGCTGATCAGAAGAGACAACTCTGAAAGGACCTCCAACGAAAGTCAAAGCCAGCAAACTATTTCGGCGATCGGGCTTATTGTTTTTTCTGAAGTAGCTATCATTTTTCTTTTCCTTTAGCAAACTCGTAGTAGAGCCACACGACAACTAGTAGAGCACTGGCAGTAAGGAAGGGAAGCGGAGGCGTGACTCTGCGGGAGCCGCGTTGGGGACACTGGGGCGGTCTCCCAGAGCGCCGCTCGGGAACGGTTAACTCCCTGTAACAGCTCCACGGACTACGGGACTGCGGGGAGGAGGACAGGCTGACGCGGAGAGGTCAAGGCCCCCCGATTCAGAGACAATACTGCAAACTAAACGAACTTCCATACCGCACCAGAACAACCTACGTGGCCTTTTGGGGCTGCCCTCTCTGCAGGGGGGCCTCCGACACAGGCTGGGAAGACCAGGCTGCACCCTCCCCAAACACGGCCAAAATAAAGGTGCAACTTCAGTAACATCATGGGGCAGGTCCACACATGCCAGTCACGTAAGAGGACCAGGCTGCAACCCAGACACCTCGGCGACATGACAGGGCGCACCAGGACTGTGGCGAGCTGCCCCCAGGTCCCCCCAAGCCTGCAGCAGGACCCCAGGAGGGGTAGGCAGCACCCAGCTGCAGCATCCAGCCCAGACGTAAAACCAAGCCCAGCAAGCAGCAGGCTTCAAAGCTGAGTCAGGATCTGAGGAACAAAAAAAGCCCTTTGATTGTATCAGCTGTCAGAAACAGCTCCACTGCCAGGTTCACCCTTAAAAGCACAGGGAGCACAGGCCGTTTAAAAGAAACAATCAGTTCTCTTCTCAAAACACGCACCTGAGCAGATTAGGGATGTTCTCATAACCCAGACAGCTCTTTGTAAACAGATATGAGCGGAGACCTGCCGGTCGCGGCGCCGACACTGCTAGTTCAATCGCTGTGGCAAACAGTGATAACAAAACCACGTGACGCTAAGTCAGTGCGTTTTCTGTGTCTGGTCACAATTCATATTCTTGGTTCAGAGCGTACACGTTATGACAGCCGGATTTGCTCACTTGTAGGAGGGCACTTCTCCAGTTGTTTTTAGTCATTTGGCAGGCTAATTTGCTGCCAGGAAGGGAACCATCTCTCTGGTTTATTAGCAAGAGGAACAACAAGAGACAGGGAGAGCTAGTAAGAAAAAGATGAGGAAGGGAAGAGAGAGGCCAGGACAGGTGATATTTGGTCCAATAGTTAGGAGATGCAAGACCAGTATGGTTGGTTTTCTTAAATGGATTCTCAAGAAAAAAAAAAATCATCTGCACACTGCTAGGATACTGGCAGACAGAGTAAAGGCAACAGCAGGTTCTCAAATGACTAAGTGAATACAGAACTCTATTCATTTACTTATTTGTCTTTTTACTAGAATAAAATTGTCAAAGTAGTAGTAGGAGGATGGCAGAGTTGCCAAAATGAACACATGATCTTAGACAGATCTGTTCAACCTAAACCACTTATTAACACAAAGTAGTATCCATCTGTGCACATGCTGTGGAACAGCCCAAAAATTAGGTTTAAAAAGGAAAAAGCTTCTTTAGAGATACGACCTCTGGAAATACCAGCAATTTAAAAGGAAGGCCTTTAAACCATCTTCCTAGCAGACTCCAGCTATCCCCAAAACACGTGAGCAGATCATCTTTAAACCAAAATGCAAACAGTTCTCCAGGAAAGACTCTAGCATGATTGGAGATCCAGATTTACATCTTGACGGAAATTTAGTGGAACGGAGACTAAACTGCTGTACAGAGTTCAGAAGTAACAAAAGCTGCAGTACACAGTTTCATCTGTCAAAGCGTGATGTGTCACTACAAGTGCTGCCGAGCCCTTGGACTCTTACTCCGTACTCAAGGAAACAGTATGGCATTTCAGGTCACATCTTTCCATAATATGGAAAAAGGTTAGTTGTTAGCCTCAGTTACTCACGGTGCATCAGTTGCTTATGCTGGCATCTGCCTCCCAGTGAGACCAGCTCTTACACAGTCTTGTATGTCAACAACAGATTTAAAAAAAAAAAAAAAGCGATTTTCATTTAAGAGTTGAAACGCATGCATGGCTCAGAGTCTCTTTCCAGGATGAGACTCCACATTGGGAGTGTGGTACCGCCACTGAAGTTTTACAGCCTCGCGTCGAACCCATATTAAAGAAATGACCCTGGCACTTCAGCTCATGTGCTTCTGCGAAGCTCTGCTCTCCAGCTCAGGTGAAACCAGCTTTGCACTTGAGCGTGGCCTGCTGCCATCTCATGAGGAATCTCTAATACTTACTAAGGATGTTCTTTGTGCAATCTACTTATGAAGAGGAACAGAAATCGACTGCGAGTTGTATATGACAAAACATACAGGGAGCCTATAACTAGGGCTACACCTGAGAAATATTTTTAGAAGTTGATTAACACGTCTAATGCGTGGAAAGACAGGGTTCATCAAAGCAAACCTTTGGAGCACCAGAACAGCATAAACAGGCTCTGATGGGCCACAAAGAGTTCCTAGGGGGGGACTTACGCAGCGCCGTGCCCGAGACAGGGCTGGCAGCATCAGCAGCCGCGCGCGGGACCGTGGAGAGCAGGGCCTCCGGCCCGCGAGCCAGCCTTTCCAGCAGGTCCAGTTTCTGAAGACGTACACATTGCACAGGAAACTATGACAGAAGATGGCATCTGAAACCTATATCATCTTTTTTCTTGCTGAGCTCTTCATTTCACATGAAAACAGGATTATCCTGCATGTGGGTGAATCTGCTTTTATTTATTCTCCATCAAAAGTCAAAGCTTTCTAAGTGCCATAGCACAGTTTGTTGCCATGGAAATGACCATTAAGCCACAAACAGAGAAGCCAGTCTTCACAGGAAGAGGCAGCAGGAGTGAATGAGTCCTTAACTGAGTTAAAGTGCTTGTTTTCATGTATTTCTTATTAGTAATAAAACATAAAGGAGCAAAAATACTGAATAAACAGCTCAAGCTCAAAATTATTTCTAATCTGAGTCACCCCCCCACGCACCTACTATCAAGTTTCACTAAATCTCCAGTGAAGAAAGGAAGGAAAAAGCAACGTTTATTAAAAACACTTTATCTAATTAAAATTCCAAATTCATAATCAAAACTTGCAATCAAAATGAAATGCCACAAGCACGCACTGCTTCCCCCGAACAAAAATAAAAGCTGTACATTCCCTTCCATAAATATTTTATGCAAGAATACTGCGAAGCAGAATCATTTAACGACATGTAATGCCAGCTGCTCGACAACAAGGGAGGGCTAAAAAAAAAAAACAAAAACAGAAAACATTCATGCTTTTTCCTCAGCTGACTCCTCACTTGCAGGCACACTTCCACGGAGCCAGCCAAGGCTACTTTTGGCCATGACCTACTTTCTCGCAGCAGCATCCAGCCCCCCCGTGCTCTCCTCTCTCGGCTGCCATCGCTCACCCCTCCTGCGATCCCAAAGGGCAACAGCTCCTTTATTGATGCACAAAGCGGAGGTTATGAAGACGGGTAGGTTAGTGGGGCACTGTGGCAGCTTTTGGATGAAGTATGCCGATTGTTTCAAATTAAATCATTCCTTGTCATGGCTGCGCGTCTCGTGACATTACGACCTACCATCTTAGCGCATCAATTAGCGACACGCTCTGGCTCCCTTGGTCTTTGGCAGCGTGGTCATGTTGTTAGTGAGGTGCCGACCCTGTTGGACATGCTACCGCTTGGAAAAGTCACAGGCGACTCGCGCAATTCTTTAACCACACATGGACAGAGTTGGTGAGGTGCAGCATGAGTTGTATTTCCTAAATATAGAGTTTCTCATGTTATCAACGTTAACTGAGTTAACGTTAAAATGGTAAACACTTAAGAATCGGATCCCTTCCGAATGGCCTCTGGCAGGAACGCACAATAATCCAGTGATGCTATCATGGGGAAAAATTAACGTGTCACGTCTGAACCGTTAGACAACACCAGGGCAAAATCATCCAGTGCTGACATGACCGTTCAGTAGGTTCTCGTCCTACCAAAACAAGCAACAAGCAACACCACAAGTAGAAGAGAAAAATCAAACTAAATATTAAAATTGAACGTTGCCTACCAAGTACCAAATTCATTTTAACAGCACACGAATTTTGTATTACATTCTTGGTTCCTTTAAAGAGACCTATTATTCTATGCATACAACTTTACGTTTCCAGAAGCCATCATATAATTTTTCCTGATGTAGAACCTTCACGAGAAATGGGAATAATAATCAAATGCTTGGACTACATCTGAGTAACTACATAACTGTTACTTATTTCAGATTTTTTAAGTGGATTTAATGATGATGAAAGGCATTGGAAACTCTCAGCAATTCTACACATTATGGGATTGCCACGGGAAAGAGCAGCACTGGTTTACAGGAAACAGCAGCATTGGTTTAACAAGGTAAGTCATATTCATGTAGTTCAATACTTCATGGAAAGTTCTGGGTCAAAAACCAACAGGACAGAACAATCTCGTGATTCAAGCAAATATTTCTATATTCAGTTCAATAGCGTAAATGCTAGATATTTATCATATGGACAACTGCCTACCAAGTGCTAGAGAGATAACCTCAATTCACTTCCACAGTTAAGTACAGTTAAACACAGCTT